AATATTTGTTCCAAGAACCTAACCTCTGTGCACACAGCTGGCATACATCTCTGCATCTCTGAGTATGTTCTGTGTTACCCTCAGACCTCCCAGTCTGAGCTACTCCACTCATTGGACAGATAATTATAACCCCCCTTCAAACCCCTAAAACTGCTATCCCTTTCCATATTTCCATTTCACTTAGTTCTGAATGCTGTGTCTGTGTAAATCGCTATTCATCCCAAACCTGGAGTTCTCTTCAGTTATTACTGGTATAAAGAGGTACAAATAGTCCTAAAGGCTACCCAAGTTTCTTCCAAGCTAATTTCCCCAACAATTAAAATATTACTATTATATTTGTTGGGGACCCCCCCCCCCAGTACCCTACCATTCTTTGGGTAACAGTATCCAGCATAATGCTGCCTGTAACCACTGACTGCTCCAAAGAACTCTGTGACTATAAAGGTTATCATGGTTTTGAAGGTTCTTTTGTGGGAAAAGTTACATTTCAACCCACACAGCATGATCACATCCATCTTGTCCTTCCACTGTAAACTGCAAGCCAGCTTCTTCCATTCCAGTACCTCCCAGAGGTATTGCATTATGCTACTCTTATCATCCCCAGTCAAGCATGGAGGACACATATGGTGGAAACCAGGTTGAAAAAGGTTGCTGTCTGGGTCAGAATTGTATTACTGTAATCTTTGATTAAAAAAACCCAAAAACACAACAGAGAGTAAGAATTTATTGTCTTTCCAGATATTGTTAGTCTGCAACCCCCACTTTTCTCACGATTGTCTACACTGGCTGGTGTTGCTGAAAGTTGCATGTGGAGAGCTACACAATTCCCTCACCTGCCCTAAACAAACCAGTAGTAATAGTCTTTGTAGTCTTGTCCCAAAATCTCATTCAAGAGGAAGGAGTGGCTTATTTCTCTTGCCTCATTATGGGATGCTATTCATGCGTACTGTTGACTGAAGCTTGCAATTTCAGAGGAGAAACTCTGTACACAAATCTTATCAAGCCTAGTAGTTCCCCCTGTGCCTTCAGATGCGTCTTTCCATCCTGACAATTTACCTTTGCTAGCTATTGATTTTTGGATTCGGCATGCATAACAGAGTACACAGACTGAAGCAATCACATCTTATTATGGGGTTTTAATATTCTGATCATATTCAAGGATCAGATGAGGCACTCATTGATTAATTCCAAGAGCATCAATTGAAATGTTGAACATGTGCAAGACATGCAGCAAAAGGCTGCCCCTGGAATCTACTCCAGTCACAAGTTACAAGTTGAGTGTGACTTGATTCACGTCTAGTGAAGCACAACCATCCCCATTCGTAGTTTAGTACAGTCTCTTCACAACAGTCCATCTTCAAGGAATTTTTCCCCACAGCAGTTGTCTGCCACAAAGTTCCTATACTTATGAGAAGATTTCAGGGCTTCTTTTAGACAAGGGATGAGAAGCTATTTGCCCTCCTGATGTTTTGGACTGCCACTTCCATAACTCCTGACCATAAGTTATGATGGCTGGGGCTTCTTTGTTGTTAATTGCCATCACATCAGCTTCAAGTCATGGCAACTCTATGAATGAGAGTCCTCTCAGACACCTTTTTATTAATAGCCCTGCTCAGGTCTTGCAAACTCAGGGCAGCTGTCCATCTGTAATACAGTGTTCCTTTTTTCCTATTGCAGTCTACTTTACCAAGCTTTGTAATATTTTATATTGAGTCATGCTGACTCATGATATGCTCAAAGTGCAATAACCTGCAGCATGGCATAGTGGTTTGAGTGTTGGACTACAACTCTGGAGACCAGGTTTTGATTCCCTGCTCAACCATGAAACCCACTTGGGCAAATCACACTCTCAGCTTCAGAGGAAGGCAATGGCAAACCTCCTTTGAACAAATCTTACCAAGAAAACCCCATGATTATGATGCCTTAGAGTTGCCATAAATAAAAAATGACTTGAAGGCACATAACAGCAACTATAATAGCCAGGTCAGTGATTCTCAAACTCTGGTTCTCCAGATATTTTGGACATCAGCTCCCAGAAGCCTCAGTCATCTTGGCCAATGGTCTGGCATTTGGGGAGCAGAACTGCGAAACACCTGAAAAGCCAGAGTTTGGGAATAACAAATAAATTGATTCTTTTCTTGTCAGCTTTCTTCACATAGAAGCTAATGCTTCTAAGCCCCTGAAATCTAAAATATCTGGAGGGCCCAAGTTTCCACTCCTCTATTCTTGGATGCAGATTTAGTTTGCACAGAACACTTGCTAGGGCTAGGGGTACAAGTCTCTATGTCTGCCCTTGAGAATTGAACATACTGAGGAGGAATGCTTTGGAATATGGCTAGCCATTGCAGGGGAACAGTGGAAATCTTTCATGCAAACTCATCAGTCATGATTGCTGCTTTTATTGATGAACTCCTGGTGATTTTCTAAAGAACCTCTGGGGCATAAATACCATTTTGGCTTAGGCATCCTAGAATCATAGAATCATAGAGTTGGAAGAGACCACAAGGGCC